GGCATGGCAGCCTGCACTGGGCTATCATGCACGCTGCTCAGTGATCCAGGACGGGCGCGCTTACGTGCGGTGGTGACGGAGTGAGAGGTGGTGGGATGCCACATAGCCAAAACCGTGCAGAAAGGGGACATGGGTGCAAGAACCCAGACGCCCAATCTTCAGTCCTAGCCACTGCATCACACGTCCTGGGATCTGCACGGAGCAGCCCTTTCCCCAGTGGGCAATGCGACTACCCCCATCGCCTTCGACAGTTCAGAGAGTTTGTCCATTGTTCTCTTTAAAACCAGAGACAACACTTACGGCTTCTCTTGGGGGTAGGGAAAGCAGTGATGAACAGGATAATGTGGAGGCATCTAGAGCAGTGACCTTGCTTATGGCATTAAAGAGCTAATTGAAGGAATGAAACATTAATACATCAAATGTCCACTAAATCCACATGCGCTGACTGTGTCCAACATTACGAAAACAATCCCCTCAAGCTGGCGGCAATGGTCCCTGAATACAAAGCGCTGATAAGGAGGGAATGGTCCAGAAATGCCTACGCTTGTACTGCACAACGCCAAATGAAATAACACTTATCTCTGGAGCTGCCACTCACCCTATCTTTTCCCTTTTCAACCCACATAATTATTGGCTTTAAAAGGGGAAGAAGAAATGTGTGTGGGGGGGGACTTTTTGTGCTTATAAAACTGATTAAAGGCATAATTAGCTTGACGACGGCTGCTATAAAATATTATCAGATAGATAAACTCTTTGTGGTGGAAATGCCACAGCTGCTGCCAGTTATATACATGCCAGGGGACACGCCATGCTCTTGGGCTCAGACCTGCGCCACGGCTTCTCCGAGTTAACTGCCCTTCCTGGCAAGAGGGGCCATCCAAGAGAAACAGCCGACTCGGGGGGTCATATCGCACTTCTCAAGCTGTGCCCCTGCTTGTCGGGCCTCTGCCCTCTGCTCCTAGCAAGTCCTTGGCCTGTCGAGATGCATTTCGGAGAGCGCCGTGTCAACCACCCGGGCTCCAGTCTTCATTCTCCGCGTTCAAACAGCATCACAGCCCAACTGGTGCTCTGGCCAGGTCCCCACAGAGCCGCAGAGACGACCAAGTGGCCTCCGAATTGCAGTCTGCTTTGTGACCCCGGCATTTCCTCGGAGAATAATGGAAAAGGAGAAAGCAGGGTGCTTCCAGAAGGCTGGCTGGATAGAAGACTAAATCCTGAAGCCCAGGGGAGGCAAATCTTCCCAGCACAAACAAATAAGGACACAACTTCATTCCTCATTTCCATGCACAACATGGTAAATATTTATTACAGCTAAACAGCCAGTTTAGCTGGAGCTTTGTCGGCTGGGCCGTCTGCTCCGCCAGCCACTGTGGGAGGTGAGTTTTTACATATTCATGTTCGTCAAAATGGTTCCAGTATTTTTAAGATCCAGGCAGGGACAATGTGGTGATGCTCATTTAAAAAGAAACCTGGACCACGACAGCAATGTTGCTGGTCATAACAAGGCTCCTTTCAGGTGGGGCTGGCTGGGCACGTTGCAGGGATCTCAGGATTAAATAAACTGCAGGAGCTCCGGCAAGAAATATTATATCATCTTTGGCGACGAGAAGCGGAGGAGCGGAGCAAAGCAACAGCAGAGCCAAGAACAGCCCCAGCAGCCCCGGTCCCCCTCCGAGCCACCAGACCACGCGCTCGCCTCCAAGCACAACAGTGCTATTTTCAGGCCAGTCTTTTCCCCAGCATCGAAAGAGCAGAGGCAGCTGCACCCACGGCAGGAGCCGGCTCCACATGGGTCCTTTCCAGGCATTCCTGCGTGGGGGCAGCTCCCTGGCCCCGGGCTGCTTGTGCTTTCAGCTTCAGCACAATGCCTTGCCCTTTTCTCCCCACCTATTTGCCTTGGCCACTTGTCAGGGCTTGCAAACCTCCTCTCAATATGCACTGAAGCCTCCCATTGCCCTGCGGAGGGGGCACCTTCTCTCCTCCTCATGCAGCGATCACAAGAAACACCGCATTTTTTTTAGGCACTGGCATTTTCCATCTCCAGACCTGCAAGAGGATTTGACTCTGAGAAAGCCGAGGAAAGGGAAGAAAGGCAAGAGAGAGAGAAGGGGAATCATCGCCACCTGCGCTCATTCAGCACTTCTCTGGGCCTCAGCATTAATCGTCCTGCCTTCACCCCCCTCCTTGTAAACAAGATAGCCGGGCCAAAATGCTACAGCTGCCATGCTGACGCTCCCTGCCGCCCGCTTCCCTGCCCTGACCCACACCCACCGAGGTCTCCATCAGGGTTGAGCAGCTGCTCATCACGCCCCTGAGATCTGAAAGGTCCCGTGCGACAACTCACATCCCCGCTACGCTCCTCCTGGCTCCACGGTCAATCTGCAGCTTTTACAAAAATGGGGGAAACTGAGCCACAGTGCAGCAAAGTGACTTGAACAAGTCCACCCAGTGAGTCAGTGGCGGAGCAGGGAAAAGACCCTCGGATGCTGTGTGCAGGCACAGGCAACCTTGTGCAGGCCTGAAGGAGGGAAGCAGCCCCACATGGCCGTGGGGGAACGTGGCCCCAGCCCAGGGGCACGTGGCCGCCCTGCACCGGTTGGGCACAGGGATCTGAATGCCGCCTGCTTCAAGAAAGGATTAAGCCATATTTACAGCAAAATCAGCACTGGACACAGCAGCCTGAAACAGCGCAGGAGCAATTAGCAGCTAACGAGTCTGCACGGATAGCTGATAACCGCTGGACGTTTAGTGCTCACTCTGTTTTTAATTGCGGCTTTGCAGCCAACAAAAAGGCCTTGATCAGCAACATTAATTGCTGGTCATTTATTACCGCGGCAGTGCTCGCTTGCAGAGCACCAGTGTGGGCACCACCTCTGTGCGAGGAGGCTCCCGCCGGCCTGGGCAGTGTGCCCATGGGGGCAGACGCAGCACGAACCCCCGAGCAATCCAGCTCTGACACCAGAGAGCAAACTCTCCCCTGCCCCGCAGACGGGTCACGGGGGCTTTCATTTGGCTCCAGCTCCATGAGCAGAGAGGTTCCTGCATGTCTGCGGTGCTGAGCGGACGTGTCCCAGGCTAGCACCATGTGCTATCAGCACGGGTTACTCTGCACAGAAAGGCACCAGCTGGGCATTTGTGCTTGGGCTGGAGGGGGCTACGTCCTCCATGCCCCAGATACGGCGCAGCTCTGCAAGCGCCCCTCGGAGAAATGCAAACAGCCGCCCAAGCCACGAGCCAAAATGGAGTCAACGAAGCTGCTCCTGCTACAGGCTGGGGAGGAGGGAAACAAGAGACTGCTGCTGAACACAAGCGAGATGGGGCACGAGGGGTTACAGAAAGAGAGGAGTGATGACAGGGACACAGACCAGTCCAGCTAGCATACCATCCCAGCTCCCCTCCTCTTGCCCCAGATCTCCATGGGGGCTTCCCTCTCAGCCTGTCTCCAGGGCTGCACACTAAACCACCCCCCAGCTCCATTTAGCAGAGTAACTAGAGCCACGCGCAGCCTGGCAGAGCCACGTGGGGAACGAGACGTCATCTGGATAGACCCTGACGAGGCTCCAGGAGCTGCTGAGGGAGGGAGGGAGGGCGCTGGGAGCAGCCGTCGCCCTGCCGGACAACGGGCATCAGGGAGCTCCACCCTGGCCCGAAGCAGCCCCCGGCTCTGCCCTGCCAGCAGCCAGAGTATGGCGGCCTGGGACTTGTGGGGTCACAGGTAAAGCCCCCTCCAGCCTGAGCAGCCTGCCCTCCTCTGGGCAAGGAGTCAGAGTCACAAGCTCAGTGAGGTCCTGGTGAAGGGCTGCTCCCTTGGGCAACGGTGTGAGGCTCCCAGGCAGCTCCCGGCGTCTCTGGACCTGTTGTGGTGGGGGCATGCACTTGGCTCTGCCAGGTCCCCACGGCCTCCCAGCACAGGACACACACGATTTCGCTCCTCTGCTGGCTGGCCACATCTCCTTCCTCCATCAGCTGCTCACGAGGCCCCGCCAGGCAGCTCTGGCGTGCGCCGAGCGGGGCGTTCTCTCCCATCCGTTCTCCTTCCTCCTCTGCTGATGCTTGCCCATCTTCTCTACAAAGGCTCCCATGCTCCAATAACTCCCGCTTCTCTGACAACTCTCTAAAGCCCGTGCTAAATGCCAATGGCAGATGACAGGCAGCGGAAGCAGCAGCTCCACTTTGGGGGAGATTTATCAAGTCTGTTCGCTTCCCCCGTGGAGAGGCTCCGGGTTCTCCAGCAGCGACGCAGGCGCCCAGGTGGGAACGCGCTCCCCTGCTTCCCGAGCTTCCCTGGGCCTGGCCCCTAGCAAAGTGCGGGGCTGCCTCTGTCCTTTCCTCGCTCCCACTATCTCCTCTCCCACATGCACACCGGGCCCCTGCTGATGGGGCTGGCGCCTGCCTTTGTGCCAGTACGGCAACGCTGGCTGGCAGCGGGGCTCTAAGGTATCGGTATACCAATGCGAGCCCTGTGCCGCTGTGGTGATAGCTGTCGCCAGCCATACTTGCTTGCAAGCCACTTCAGTGATCACGAGTACAGCATGCTCACGCGGCGACACGCAGCGGCTCTTCCTCTCAGGCGTGGCATTGTGCCTGGTGCCACCACTGACCACGAGCCTTTTACACATGACATGGGGACAGTGACGGCAAGGACTCCCCTGCATGGGACAGAGAGCGCTGGTCTGCGCAGCTTGCACCTTGGGGGCACCAGCAACGCGGCCGGCTCCTGCCCAGCTGTCCCAGCTCTCCCTGTTCTGAAAGGGCGCTTGCCAGAGACACTGCATGTGCTCCAAGACAGCCTCAGTCAGCAACACCTTCCCTCGCCAAAGACAGGATTCGTGGGCCCCCGGGACGCTCTTCTGTGACAGACCAGTTATAACGGGGTGACTGAGGACGGCCTCGAGCCACAAAGTGCGCGCCCATGTGTGACTTTCCAGCACCCCGAAACGTGATGCCGTGGGCTCTGTTACGGGCCCAATGGCAACGCGCAGCTGGCCCGGGGCTCTTACCTTGGCCTTCCCGGTGCTCTGCAGGATGTGAACCAAGGCCGAAGCCATCTCCTCTTTGTTCTTCACGCTCAGCGCAGGCTCCAGCACGGAGCACAGCACCATGTAGTTGTTAGTGATGTACTCGGCAAACTCCTTGTACATCTCCATGGGGAGGATGCTCATGGTCTGATAACGGGACTTGATGCGGATCATGGGCCCTGCAGACTTGCCTTTGCTGGGGTTGGGGCTGACCACGGGGTACCATTTCTCCACAAACTGCCGGCCCGTAACAGAGCCCACGGGGATGTTCACCTGCCCGATGAAGTTGGTCTTGTCTTTCTTCTTCTTCTTGTCGGTCTCTTTGTACAAGTGCACGGTAATGTTCTTGAGCGATGGGAGGTTATTAAATTCAAAGTGCTCCCCCCAAAAGACATTGTCAGTTTTCAATTTACAGGTAGTTCGTGCGTAAAGAACGTCATCCAGGCATAATTCACACAAGTACTTTTTCTTGGCTGGCAGGTCCTTGGCTTCAATAATCCATAACTTTAACATATTCTCTACCCTTCTGCTGTTGTCCTGGAAAAGACACATACAGAAAAAAGGTCAAGTGAAAAAGAAAACAACAAAGGCATAAACAACAAAAGCTGAGAAACGAGCTAATTATTTCCGATGTGCTAAACAAGCAGAGGCTTAATTACATTTTATTTTAAGGAAATACTAGCTCTTTGGAATTTGCATAATAATGCTGCTTATGTTAATTTTGCAAATATCACAGTGCTCTCCAAGTCTACTGGTGCCAATTAATATAAGGAACAAGGTAGATAAAACCCCTCCAAATTAAAAATGCACCACTGCCAACTCCACTGCCAGGGGGCTCGCAACGAGAAAAACCAAAAGCCCAGGAAGGAGCTTTATCAATAATTAAAGCCTCTTGCAAAACAGAAGCTGTATTACAGGTGTTTCCTCCCTTCTGCTCTGCCATTGTCCTGTATTGCCACTACATTTCCTCCTCCGCGGCAGCGACAGAGGAACCCGAAAGTGCATGCAAGGGTCACTTTATTCCTGGGTGGAAAATCACCACCTCTGGGGTGGAAACGAGCAGCTGCTGCAGCTCTGTTCAATATTTTAGGATAAGAGTAGAGTGTCTAACTGAAACAGCTGGGGGAACTGAGACAGAACGAGCTGCCTGGGAACCCAGCATTGCTATTCTTATTCAGATGGAGAAATTTGGCCAGGACCAGCTTAACCCCATTATAGTGAAACATGATCCTGTTTCTAAGCCTCATCCAAAGGAGGGAGCTCTACAACAGTGGTTCTTGCACTTGTTAGACTCGAGGCACCCTTCATCGGGTTCGAGGCACCCCTCAACCCCCTCCATGACTTCTGCAAATTGAGCAGCACCCCATTTATTACAGCGCTTACCTCCGGGCAGTGGGCGTGAGGGAATGGCCCGGTAGGGAGAGCCTGAGCCTGCCCCGTTGCCCTGGTTGAGGCGTGCTGCTTTATGGTTTCAGTGCCAAAGGGAAGAGCTCCGCTACTGAGTCAACAACTCTCGGCTCTGTACCACCCTTTGTTTTACTTAGAGGTCTCCCATTACAGCAGCAACTTGGCCTGACCCCACTCAGTGTCAGGGCACCGACAAGAGCACACAGTGGCCGGAAGCTCACAGAGGGGTGTGTGGTTTCGGGCAGGAACTTACACAACAGCCCCGAAGTCCAGAACAAAAATATCAAATCAGATACCGGGAGTTCGCATCAGCGAACAAAAGGAGGAAAGCCTGCAGAGTCAGCAGGCAGCGTCAGCCAAGATGGGGGCTCGTTCCCAAACACAAGCTGGTGTAGCAGAGGTACAGAGTTCCTCCCTGCCTAGCTGCGGCTCTGGCAACACCAGTGGGAAATGCAGTCACCCCCATCTTTAAATCTCTTTGCAGGCTGCTAGGTTTGCTTTCAAAGCAAGGGCACCTGTGGGGCTGCTCTACAGGTACCAAAGCAATCTGAAAGGCAGAAGTCGGCACCTCCGCTTGGGTGAGCAGCATCCCAGGGCCCCAGCCTCATGCGGCAGTGTCTGTTCCCACAGCTACGTGCCCCCAGGAACAGGAGGGAAAGCACCCGGCCGTTCGTGTGTCTTGTCTGCTCAACAGAACCCAGCTTGATGATGAAGCCACGGCAGTAGCAAGACCTTGCGCTTGATCAGCTTTGTCCAGAACCTTGTTCACCAGGAAAGAGGCAGTGGTGGGCTTGATCTGAGGATGACTTTACCCTCAGTGGGAGCTGAGGATGCATTTCAGGCATCCCGGTGTCAGCTAAAAGAGAGGAGCTTGCCAGTGCTGCTGTTTGAAGTTCAGATACCGGCAGGAAGTGTTTGGCCTCCGAGCCTGCCCACTGGGACGGACCATGCTCTAAGCCCGTATTCCTCTGCGAACTCAGACCGCACATTAAGACTCTGCAACTCTGGTTCTGCATCTTTAAAACCAGCATTGCAAACCCCAGCAGTGCCAGGAGAGGGGGCTGTGAGGATTAATTAGCTAGGGTAGTATCCTGTCCTGCATCTCTGGTGACAGCCACCCCTGACAGCACCCTTGGTCCCACACGCTCCGAGCGTGGAAATCACTACACGAAAGGCAAGTGCCATTAGCAGTGTCATCGGTGGTAGAGCGAGCACAAAGGTTCTCGAGGTTTGATTGTTGTTCAGTGACCAACCGGGAGGCATGTACGGGATGGTTGGGGGGGAGAGGGCAAGAAATAATTGGCACTTTCCCGTAAATATAATTGGGGAAGAAAGTAATGCAGAGAAAAGCTGACCCACAATGACATTTCATCACTAAAATGACAATGCGTCCCCTGCTGCTCCTATGCACTGGGTTATAAAATGTAATAACGAGGAGCAAACCCATTACAGAGGCCATTCCTCAAAGCTGCTACCTTATTGGGGTGCACAGCACGCCGCAGGTTCTCCATCCATTTATCTCGCTCTGCGGCAGAACGACAGGAGAAGCACTTGCTTCCTGATGAAGTCGTCACCTGCGTGGAAAGGAACAGGGTTATTTCTTGCCTGATGCATTAGGGACCTTGCTTCCGGCCTGGACTTTGAAAACAAACAAAAAAAGGAGGTTTCTCCAAGCGCCAGGGGGCGGCCTCGAAGGCTGATGGGCAAGCGGGGCAGCTCTGAGCGGCTCAAGGGGTTGACGATAGACGCTAACTGCACCTTCCTCCCCACTTCTACCTCTGTGGCAGCCAGGGGAGATGCCACAGGAGTGACTGGAGCTTTCCCAGTGACCGGCAATCCCTCTGCATCTGACGTCTCTCAGGCCACCCAGTTTTGCAACCACTGAGTGAGAGAACAGCCCCTGGAGAGAGGGATCAGCATGAGCGTCAACGGCCAGCATCCCCCTGAATTCCTCACCTGTCCCTGCCTAGGGCATCCTGCCCTTGAATCATCCCTCCCCCCACCCTCCCTCTCCTCTGGATGGGCTACCAATGCAGGTCCCGATGAGGCCCAGAAGGATGGTCTAGAGCAGCGGTTCTCAGCCTTTTGGGCTCGAGGCACCCCTTGTTGGACTCAAGGGCCCCTCCGCCATTCTTGGGAATTGAGCAGTTTCCCATTTCAAAACCTGGCTGATTTTAAAGGAGGGCAATGAAAATGGTTCAGGGGCTGGGACACAGGACTGGTGAGGAGAGGCTGAGGGAGCCCAGGGGCTGATTGAGTCTGCAGAAGAGAAGACCGACGGGGGGTTGAATAGCAGCCTTCACCTCCCTGCAGGGGGGCTGCAAAGAGGATGGAGCTGGGCTGGTTTCAGGGGTGGCAGCAGAACAAGGAGCAATGGGCTCCAGTTGCAGCAAGGGAAGCTGAGGGTGGATATTAAGAAAAACTCTCTCATGAGGAGGGTGGTGAAGCACTGGGACAGGCAACTCTGAGAGGTGGGGGAGTCTCCATCCTTGGAGATGTTTAAGACCCAGGTAGACAAAGCCCTGTCTGGGAGGATGTAGTTGGTCCTGGTCCAGCTTCACGCAGGGGGTTGGGCTGGATGTGACCTCCTGAGGTCCCTTCCCACCCTTGTGCTCTGTGCATCTATGATTTATTACTGTGCTTAACTGCTTGCAGTGGGGCTGGGCAGTGGGAGCAAGGAAACAGGCAGGCAGGGACAAGTCTGAGCCTGTACTTACCTGTTTATCTCCTCACCCCTCATATCACCCTTCAAAGGATCTCGTGGCACCCCAGGGTGCTCCAACCCCTGGTTGAGAATCACTGCTCTAGAGGAACAAGGGGCAGGGACAGAGGTAGCATGCCCAGCCCAGGGCTGAAAGCAGAGGGGCTGTGCCCAGAAGTGTGATGCATGGCCCATCTCCAGGAGACGCTCCTGCCTCTGCTGCCCTGCTTATACCCCCAGCTCGGATCTCCTGCAGGTGCCAGGTAAAGGCATCTCCAAGCTTTCATGTGCCTCCTCCTTCACCCAACCCTCCTGCAGCAATTGCACCAAGTAAGAAACAGTCTAATAAGGAGTTACACCGCTTCATCTGGCCCTCAAGGCCTTAAGATATTGTAACTGAGAACTAGAGTCATTTCCACTATGGTCCAGGAGCTCAGGCAGTTTTTCCATCCCTTGCTCCCAGCCAATGGACATCCAAGCCTTGTGGGAGCTCATCTTTGCAGGCAGAGATGCGGAGGACACTACCACGCTTTGCACTAATTACCGCACTTTGCATGAATGACTGCGCTGGGTCCGCGAGGGCCAGTCATGCACCAAGGCAGCCTCTGCCCAGCAAGCTGCAGCTCTAAAATAGCAAACGCCAATGCAATATGCATGTTCCAACTCTCGCCTTCAAACCCTGCTGGCAAATCAGCTGGCTAGGACTGTGGTCTTAGGGGCTCCAGATGGCCGATAAAAACATCGCTTAGCTGCTCTGACCTTCTTTGCATCTCTCCAAGTCCAGCGACGCTCTTCCTGAACATCCTCGTTTGCAGGCCAAAGGTCCCGTGCTTCGCCACGTCCAGTAACTCCCCTCTTCCCGCTGCTCCCTCCATTGCCACGCTGCAGGATTCCTTACCCTTCCTCCTCCTCCTCCCCTCGCCATGTTTGCTATCCTAAGCGGCTGCCTGGGTCAGCTGCATCGGGGAGACACGAGCTGCCCTGGCTTTGCACATCCTCCAGGAGGTTCAGTTTGCTCCTCGATCTGCAGTCGGCATCAGGCCAAGACTCTGCCCTAACCCAGCTCATGACCGGAGGTCCCTGGTGCCTCCCGGGTGGAACAAAAATGAAGAGAAGTTGGCGCTGCCTTCACCAGAAGGATGCAGCAGCTTTTGATATTCCAGTTGGTTTCTGGGGCATCTACTTTGCCGCCGCTGGCCCAGAACCAACACTTCCCCTCATGCCGCCGCTCATTCATACTGCACAGCGTCAGTCTAAAGAGCCCTCTGGCATGGCTGTCTTCTGCTGCAGAAAAGGGGCCTCCAATATGCACAGGTTTTGTTGCATTGCCCCTGCCCTGCTCTCTCACCAGGATGCACCCACGCTTCCCAAAGCTGGTGCTCCTCAGCATCCTCCTGCAACAAACCTGGTCCGCTTCAGCCTCCAGTTGCCTCAGCACAGGCTAACCCCAGTGTCCAGCCCTTTGGGGGCCCTGAGCAGTCTTGGCCCTGTGCAACCACGTTCCTGTTGCCCAAGGCGGAGGCAGCTTTGCTGGGTCTGTTGGGATCGCTCCCAGAGAAGTCCCAGAGGCTGCGTTCTGGGCCACTGTAAGGCCCACGCGTGGCCTGACGGGGACTGCGGAGCTGCACCACGTTCTCACGGAGAAGTCACGACAAGCGCTGAGTTACAAGCGCACGGACTGCAGGACTACCCATTAATTACACAGTTACTTAACAAGAGGGTTTAGACCTAAATAACAGGGAAGACCGTAGCAATCAAGCGTCCCTGCCGATTGCTGCGTAATTGCTGGAGAGGGGGGCGTAGCTACAAGTTTGGACAGCGTTTCAGGGACCTCTTCTCGCTCTACCCCTTTAATTAGACTTTGGGAAATCCAAAGTGATTGCCAGGAAATGCAGCCTGTACACCAACGGAGAGGCCCAGGGACTAACGATACAACCACGGCACTGGCCAGCGCCAATGCTGCAGCCTTTGAGAAAGCAAAACTCCCCTGATGTTCCTGGGAATTCTGATTAAAGACTGGTTTTGCACCCGTGTAAATGAGGAGAATTTAGTCCTCATTCTATCTTGTCTGTTAATTAGGGGCCAATCGTTTACCAGCTGCTTAACAGGATGTATATCCACCGTATTTTATGGCCGCATAGAAATACACGTCGGCATTGATTTAACATGTAACAAATACCTTATTCAATTGCAAGTCAATGCCACACTGGCTAATTAGTCAAAGGACAATTAAAAAAATAAATGCTAGCCTTCCCTCTTGGAGCGATCACGCTTACCTGGGGGATTCTTCAGTGTCAAGACCAAAAAGGCCTGCAGCCCTATTTGGAGTTGAAGGTTGTGCCTCCCGCATCTGATTGCAAATATAATTTTCCCTAGATCTGCCATAATGCCTGGGCTCTGACCTGAGGCCTAAATATCACGTGGCATTAATAATCTTCAGGGGCTATTAATTATTTTCATAGAGCATTCTGTCCATCTCAAGACTCGTAGAGTTGGTTAAAATGATATTAATTTACACGGCCAAACTGAATTAATAGAACTCATTAGTTCCTAAAATATAACTGATTTGTACTCGTTATTCCCATCCCTTGGATGGGTGGCACCTCGAGTTAGACAAAATGATTTGGTGGATTTTGTTCGCATCTGAAAAGCAACACTGGATTTCCTAAAGCACTTTTGAAATGAGGTAACCTGGTTGTAACGACAGTTCATAGCTCTGCAGTTAATTTGGCCGTTTCAGCTTTAATTGGCTTTAGGAACAGAAGCTGCAGCTCCCAGCGCAGGCCGGGTGGTGGGTGTTATCATGCCCATGTCACAGACGGACAAGCCAAGGCACGCCGAAGTGAAGCGACTTGAATCCTAACCTGACTGTCCCGCTCCTGGTCATGGCTGGCGTGCGGGGAGCCTGAAGGGGCACAAAAGGGGCTGGGGAAGGACTGACCCTGCAGCACATGCTGCCTCCTTAGCAGATATGATGGACGGGGGTGATCACGCTGGCTGGGAAATGTTTCCTCCATTAGCTTAGGAGGAGGAAGCAGCTCTTCAACAAGTGATTTGGAAATCTGACCACAAACAAAGGCTCTGCACGGCTGGCAGCACGAAGCGGAAAGTCTGCAGCACTAAATCAATGAGAAGAAGAGCTAGGTTCAGACGCTGTCAAAGCAGGTGCGTTTCCGCTCATTCCAGTGCGCTGGCATTGACTTTCCCCCAGCCCAAGCCTGGTCCTCCTGAAGGCGCTGATAACTAGGCAATCAGCCGCCAAATGTCTTAAGAAGCACTGGGAGAAAAAATGCCCTGTGCCTTTAAACAGCCAGCTGCTTCCCATGGAGTCTGCTGGGTTTTTTCCACTGCAGATGGCCCTGGCACCTCTCGCTTGGCTTGGCTCCGCTGCCCAGTCTGTTCCCATCCTCGAGTCTCCAGCATGACTCCATCTGCAGCTGCGGTGAGCCCTGCTGTTCTGCTCTTTGGAGCTGCGCGGTTGCTGCCTCTGCGGCTCAGCGTCGGGGAGCTGCTGCGTGCGGCGTCCCGGGTCGCGCGCGCCAGGCAGGCAGGAGCGCAATCAGCTTCTGGAGGAGCAGCCATCCACAGCAGCAGACGAGAAGCCCCAAGTGGGAATGCTCTCAGCCCTTCAGACCAATTCAGCTGCCACCGCTCCTGGGAGACTGCTAACGGGCCCAGGCCAGCTGGTGACGGGGGCTGCGTGCGGGACCCTGCCCACTCCTTGGATGCAGCAGTGAGAGGGGAGGATGATGAAGAGGAACAATCCAGGCAGGGAAGCCCTGCCTTCATCTCCCAAGGCAGCATCTGGCTTCTCAGTCCAGGTGAACAAAACTGTCCAGCCCCAGAGAGCCTCTCCCCTCCTCACCGCCAAGCCTTACCCACTTGCAGCGCCTCCATCACCCAGTGGACAAGACCGCCGCAGTTCCCCGTCTGGGTGTTTTTGGCAGCCCCTTCTCACCTGACATCGTTCACGCTGAGCTTGTAGCATGGGTCCGTATGCCCCAAAGTGCCACGGCTCTCAATTGCTCTCTCTGCCGCCAGCGCTCTGTCCAGCAGAGCCTCGGCAGCTTGGGCTGCCCCATGCTGAGCTCTCACCAAGAGAAGCCGACAGGCCACATGAGGGGACTCTGTCTTTCCCATGACTGAACCCCAATATATATATGCCTGAATAACAAGTAACCAGACCCAATGCTAAGAGGCCAGAGTGGGGGACACTCGTGTACGAGATTACTTCCTGGTTTCCACTCCAGCAGCAAGACGGATGCTTGCAACTAAACACATGCTGCTGTTGTCTAACTGCGTGCGGGACTGCAGGGGTGGGAAGAGCAGGCGACTCTGCCGTGTGTCTCAGCCACCGGCCTCCCACAAGTCTGCTCCCACATCTCCAAGCCTCCTCGCTGCTCTTCTTCTTCTGTCCCGTGCTGTCCCAGCTCCTTCTAAGCCGTTGTCTCTGCCGGTCCCGTGGAATTAGGTGGTGGGTTTGGGATGCAGGCGGCATCCATTAGGGATTAGACTGAGACCTGCACGCTCGCTTCACTTGTGACTTGATGCAGGGTTTGAACGGGGATCTCAAGAGATGCCGGAGCGGTGCATTAACACATCCTGCCACGAGCTGTCATCTTAAGTGCTTCCCTCTGGAACATGGCTGACGCTCGGTGATAGTCGGATGTCTGGTGCATTTTCTGACACCGTTTCTTCCCACCACCGGATCTTCAGAACAGCAATTAACATGCTCCTTTCTTCCCGTGTGCCTCTTCTTTATCAGCCTCACTTAAAAATAAAGCACTCTTTCTCCTCACAAGTGCACGATTTGTGTAATTCCCCTCTCCATCAACTTTCCACAAGTACCGCTCGTATCCCTTGCTCTGCTCTTGTGTGCCGAGCCGAACTGGTAAACAACTCTTATATTATGGATGTCACATCTATTTTCCATCTAACTTCATTTTCTCTTTCTTGAGTGGAATGTAATAGAGGCCGCCTAATTTACAAAACACTGCTCCTCCTGACCTGCTGCACTTGCTCAACTCCACGGTGAGCAAAAGGCACGGGAAGATGCCTTCTACCGACTTAGGGACTACGGTGGCGGCTCCGCTCGCTTGTCAAAACATTTCCTGTGTCCTTGCTCACAGTTAAGAAATACCTTTTATTCATTTCAATCTGCTGCTAATTTGGACAATGCAAAAGTCATCGGCCAATTTCTGCTGCCTGATTCTTCACTAATTGACAGACACGAGACTGTTTTCCTGCAATGCAAACTGTCATGGGAACGTACCTGTTCCTGTCACTGCTTGCTCAGGCATGACCTGATGCCTGCCATGGCTTTGCCTTCCACCCCTAAATAGAAATAGGGCTCCTATTCTTCACAGCGGCAGTGGTGATCACCTGTGGCTGTGAAGAGGCGGCTTCCCTGTTCCCTGAACAGGCACAGTGCTACATGATATAGCACGTTGCTTTTTCCAGTGCGAGACAGCCCAGTCCTATACAACAGCATGCTGCATAATCGTCTGTTGTGCTGGGCTGTGCAGGCACCACTGCTCTCTGCAAGAGAGTCCTGCTCTGGCCATTGTGCTGCCCCTGAGAGAGGTAGCAGAGGAGGAGGCTGAAAATCTTGAAAGACCAAAGCTCACAGAGACTTTCCTTTCATTCAAGCCACAGAAACCAGAGGTTTTTGGATGACAAGGTCCTGATTTCCATTCATACAGACAGGGAGGTATGATTTCCATGTGACCACAACACAGAAACTTAGGATGCCAACATGGCAAGCAGCAGATCAAATATCTGTTGATGCTCTGTCAGTGCTTGGGACCCATTGCCCACGGAGGCGTGCTCTGCGGCTACTAGGACGTCAGGCCCCAGCTCTCATTTGGTTGGCATACCCTTACACAGTGCAGCATAAACACCAAATCAAACAGCAGAACCCCCTGTGACCCACACAACGTTTCCTGGGCAGGACACATACCCGCGCCCTGCTCATCACATTGCTCTGCCCTGATGCCGTGCGTCAGGAGCAGACTCCGGAGTGAATGCAAGAGCTTCTTACCTCAAAGCAATAGTCCTGCCCCAAAATGCTACTGTGGACTGGTTTGATGACCACCTCCTCCTCCATGCTGAGATCCAGAGCCTCGACAGCACTACTGGGACTGAGCAGAGACTCGTGGGAGCGCGATTCTTTCAGTCTCGGCATTAGATGGGATCTAAAGGAAGAACACAAAGACATCAGTGGATACTCTCCGGTCCGTCTCAGGTGCACCATTTCTGCAAATTACAGGCATGAAAAAAAACGGCAGGTCGTTCCTGTATGTATGAACTGCAATATGGTCCTGTCTGCAACTTAGCAAAGAGGCTGGATTGTAAAGGGGGATGCACTAAAAATGCCGAGTGCAGCTTGCAGTCAGGTACGTCTCCAAACGTGCACGCAACAGGTGTCCTTGCAAAGGACGCTGTGTCTTTTTGCAGGGATCGAACACTGTAGCTCTACCTCCTCGCACTGTGATCATGATATTTAAACAGGGTTGGGTCTCGTACACAGATGGGAAGTCCTCCTAGCTTCAGCTTATGGTATTGCCACTGAAAGGAGAAAGTTTACATGAATGCTGAGAGGGAAAAAAATGAATGGCCTGTTTTCTGTTGGACTTTATATCCCAGTTGGGCCTCCTGTTCTGGACACAGAGCTGAGGCTGGCGAGCTGCAGGGAAATGCCAGCATGTGTGGCGCACCACGCACTGTGCCAGTGAGGTGCTGCGTGTTGTACGAGCACCATCCGCCCCACGTTCGCGTCGCGGGGGAGCCGTGGCTGGATGAGTGCGCTGGGACTGTAATTACTGTGTGAGCTGGAGCGCTCGCTCCATCTATTACGAACACAGCGCTGAGAAGGGGTGAGCATGGAGACAAGGCGCATGATAACTCTATTGATCCATCTAAATGCTCTGGAAGCCCACTGACAGCACTTAACAGCAGGGGAGCCTGCGGACAGCAAGGAATACACCATTTCCATCCAAGGCGCTGGCGCAGAAAGTCAGAAGGCACGGGGACACAGGCAGCCCAGCACCAGCCGGAAAAACAAAACTCAAATACCAAAGGGCAGGGGAAAAACTGAGTGCGAGAGAAACCGTCCCTTTATCAACAGTCTGCACAGAACCGAACGCGTCTGCTGACGCCGGGTCTCAAACGCTGCGACTCCAGTAACTCTGACCTTTCAAACCCCTGGCAAGAGGCTCCGAGCTCCTCGGAGAGGCTGTGTGCGTCTGGACAGGGCGGCATTTAATCTGCTTCCAAGGAGCACGCTCCACACGGCAGCCTGCGCCGCGAGCACTGCCTCGCACGCACAAGGCAGCGAAGCTCACAGCACGTCGCGTCCGACTGCTGCCTGCGACTGCATTGAGTTTCCTCATCCTCGGGAACAAAGCTGACCAAAAACACACTGAGAAATGTCAGCGCGGCATGAAAAATTCATAGCTCCCAGTCAGTCAGATGCCAAGCGGAGCCTCAAAAACAGCCAACAGCAGAGCCCGACATAAACAGGTGCTTTTTGAACTTAGCCATAAGGGTCCGTGGCATCAGTGGGCCCCAAGGTAATAAAGGTTCAGACTCCAGCTGGTTCATCCACTTGAAAGGGCCGGATCGGCAGCCCTGCAGCTGGGAGCCTCTAGTCCTCTGCAGAAGGGGCGCAGCACAGACCGACACCGGGCAGCACTACCTAAGGGTTAAAGCTGAACTCAGCCGCCAGGGCCGATGCAGTGCTTTGTGCTTGCTGTTGGGGCTGACAGCCGGTGCCGATTGTGGCGGTATCTATGAATGCATCTGCTGAGAGCCAGGCTAAGGCACCAGCCTCGCTGCATACAGGACAACTAGCCGAAGTCTAAAACCTCCGGTCAATACCGACTCGTACGGGATTAGAACCAGAGACTTGGAAGCAAAAGGCTCTCCAGCCCATTAGCAATGCTTCAAGCTGTCCACTCACCCCGAAGTGCTGGCGCAAAAGGAATTGATCTTCAAGAGCCGAGCACAATCCCGCTGTCATTTCCCCTGTCCTTTGCGGCAATTTAATACTATTTTCAGAGAAAAGGAGCCCACATCCTTATTCCCCAAATGAGACTGCGGAGCAACTCTGATGGGGGTAGATGGATCTAGTTAACCCTGGGTGCTACATATCCCAGCGAGATGCATCTGGCAGGTGCGGAGCTGACAGCAGTAGCGCAGTCACCAGGCGCTACTGAATTCACGTGCAGGACTTTTACATGAAGTCTTAATTTCTATAATATAGGGAATTTTAACCAATCTGTACTGGTTTGTGTGTGTGTGCATTTGCCCATGTGTAAGAAGTACTAATAACATGAACTTTGCGTGCAGCAAGCATCCCGTGATATATATACACACACCACCGAGGCTGGAACACGTTTGGGCTCTAAATCGAGCAAAAATGACAGCATAAAAGGAGACGATTTCCTGCTTCGCTGTTACAGGTGCAGACGAGAGTGTGGGAATCCACATATCCAGGGGCAACCTGGCAGGGAGAACTAACTCTTCATGCCACATCGTTAACCAACGCTGGGGTGTGTCAGAATGCAGTTTAAAACCGCCACGCTACAAAGCATCCAGGCAACCAAAATACGTAATTACCCAGTCCAACAGAATGCATTTCATCCCGGATGCACTCAGCCCGGGCATCCAGAAATTTGGGGTTTTACTGAGATGGGAATTTATCCTAACACTTCACACTGCCGGGGTACTGGATTACTCAGGGAACCAGGTCCTAAGCAGTTCCAGCGTTATAAAGCCCTCCGTGCACAGGTAGCGGGTAAAATCCAGCTGGTTGTGTGGGGTGTTGAACGAGTCCAATGGGCCTCAGCCAAGCATCCACCAGACAAAAGCTACGGATAAAGATGTCATTAAGCAGCATCGTGCGTTCGCAATCTCAGAGAAGAAGAGAAAAACACCACCGGTAAAGGCAGCCCCGCACAGTCACGCCAGGCGTGAATGTTGACTCCGTGGGCTCTTCTGACACAGGTCACCAACTTGTGAACTCTCTAGATAAGTATCCTAGTCTACAGAAGTGTGCATCCACCCCACCGTCTGTGGGTTCACCGGCACCAGTGTCACCTGCAGAATGAAAGCAATGAACTCCCCGGGGCGACGCATCAACCCAGCAAAAGTGCCGGCTATGGGGAACAACCTGCCGTGGAGCGCGTGGGTCTGTGCTGGATGTGAAGAGGTTGCAAGGAGCATGGCTCCCGTTCACATTCATGCCCAGCCCCAAGATAGGAAAAACGTCTCGTGTCCTTTAACTGGCAGCTCCACGTCTGCTGCAGGGACTGGCTTACTGGAAGACGCTGCTCAGCCCTGTCTCGGCTCCCGCAGACTCCCCCTTTGTATTCACAGGCATCAGAAATTCCTGCTAATGCTGTGCTCTGCTTGAGTGACTCATATGGCAAGGGCCTTATTATTCTTACTGAAATGATAACTCAGCCTTCCTGGCCATTTGGGGAGAGAAGAAAAGCCAGCAATGTGCACGTTACGGAGGAGGTAGCCGAGAGAACCAATACTCCTAGATCCAGCTCTCAAGAGCATAAAGGAGCTGGCCTGAACCCGCTCTCATGGATGGGGGCAAGGGCAGCTTGAGAGCAAAAGCAGACACATGAGCAGAGTCTGGGCTGGTGCAGAGCGAAGGCCCCGCTAACGTGAAGCATTGGCACAACCTTCCTCCACTGAGCGCTGTTGCAGGGCTGGAAGGAGGGCCCTGCTCCCATCCCTACAGGTGACTTTGGGGAGACGGAGACCTTCGCAGTACGAGGTCCACCAAACCCACCTCCCAAAGCGAGCACGGCTCTGCGACGCTGCAGCCAGCTCAGAGGCAGAAACACTGTGGCCCGTATCCCCAGCGCTGCCCCGACACCGATGCAAAGCAGTGACATTGTCTTCTCACCACAATGCCTGCAAACCGACCTCTCCCCGGCATCTTCTCGCGGCCGCCCAGACACTTCAGAGAGCATCTGCAGACCACAAGTTGCTTCCTCAGCCTGACAAAGGGTATTTATACCCGAAAGCTTGCTCAGAAGACTTTTTCCACCTATTTGAGTTGGTCTACTAAACGATATCAGATTTACCCAAAGAACCTTGTCCGCCTGAGGTGTCCTCTTCCCCCTCCCCAGCCGCATCTGAGCCCGGCCAGGGCTGCCCTTTCACAGCCGGCCGTGTTCCCGTCCCCACCGGGGATCTTGGGAGCAAACCCAGGGAGGCTGCGAGGTTTCTGCAACTCGCC